AATGCTAACCAAAGCTTTAACTAAAAACGTGTCGGAGAAATATCTTTTACATATCAAAGGAATTCTTTTCACCTTAGGAAGTTATTCATCACCGTTCTCTCGCACATAAGATTGAAGGATAATGAATTTCGTTTTGCAAGCAATATTTTACAAGTGCGAACATTTAAAAGTTTTATATTTTCTTTAGGCGCTAATTTTATTTACATATAACATTTACCGTTGCAGATTACAAATCAATTTTAAACATTTTTTTTATTTTATTTAATAACGACAATATAGCATCTTTACAGAATAAATCTAATGTGACACTATATCTTTGTGATAATACATAATATTACAAAACATAATTTAAATACAATAAAAACTGACAATGAAGAAGAAAAAAAAAACAATTTATTCACATTTTATAATCATCTAATTTCTATAATAAATCTTTGTATTTATTTAAACACTAATGTATTACATTAGGTAAACCTGTTTACATAAAAATGATTTGCGTCTTCAATTTCCCTCACAAGTTAGTTTATATAAGTATAAATGAAAAAGTATAAATTACTGCTAGAATTATTGACATAACTTTGTCAATCAGTTGGAACAGCTTAATGTCCCGGACGGACATAAAAGAGGACACCGTGTAAGTCACATGAATCGTGAGTCATGTCTTTTATAAATTACAAAAATACTAACTTCCGACCTTAACATACAATTATGTCTTCTTCCTGAAGTAAATAATAATCTAATATATCTCATTTAACAATGGTAGCCAGTTCACTGTTTAACCGGCTCGAGAGGACCAAATACGTCCTGTGTAACAAAATTCTATGCAGTAAAATGTTCAAATATTATGTTTTAAATTCTTAATATTATACTTACATGTTCTGTCTCGAATACAATTGGCAGCAACTCGATGAGTCAACAGTGATGTTTCTTGCTGCATTCATAATGATCTCATTACTTCAGGTCAAGGACATAAAAAACAATGGTCTCTATTAGTCATTTTTATTTACTTTATCAACACTTAATCTATGGCTTTATTTTCATTAATTTGTTACCGGAATTTCAGTATTTTATACACGAGTAATGTATGTTTAAAAGCAGCAAAATTATTGACAATAAATCGCAGATACAAATATAGTACGTCTTTTTTTCGATATAAAATCGTCAACATCATCATTTCCCCTATTTTACTTCCGTAGAGTCGGCGCACCGGGATTTTATTCTACAAATAACTCTATCAGCCTTCATCTCAGTCATCACTACCTTCTTGATCATGTCACCATTCAAGCAATCTATCCATATTTTTCTACGTAAAATGTCATTAATAAAAAGTTGCAAGTATGTATATTTGGTAACTTTTTTAGTGTTGTAACGCGGGTCTTAACCTTTGTTATCGTCGTTTGTTAACTAAACGGAATAGTTTGCTAGATCACTCGTTATTCTATTTTTTTGCTCTATTTTCAACTATCTCGGTGATCTTAATTGAGTCAATGAGTTTGAATTAACAACGAGCTTCCCATGCGAACTATCCACGTTTAGTAAGCACGTAGCAATTGTCATTCCTTTGTCTTGTCTTGCTACTAAAAGAAAATCATATAGGATTTTAAACGGAATAAATTTGTTTTATGTTAGAGTTTCTTTTATTTCGAGGCATATAAGGCAGTTTTCTTTTAATATTGGTGAAAATCCAGAGTTATTTAACATCAGTCTTAGGACACAGAAAAAAAATAATTAGTTTTCTCTCAATAAATATAAAGAAATGTTTACAGATTGAAATAATTTTCTCGATAAATTCTTAAAAAGACCTTTCACATGATTGCATAATATTCTCCTTTGAGCAGCTCTGTTTACAGTATAGTAATTGATTATTAAATAAAGGCAACTAATTAAGTTCTCAAAGATAAAATATGCAATATTTCCCGCGAATACAGAAATTGAAGCGCTTCCAATAAAAATATAGGAAAAAGCTACACTCGCGTATGTCCAAGTATGGATACTCATCCGCCAATTTAGGCAGAATCGTTCGACGACTTCAATAATCTAAATATTCTCTAAATATTACTTTTTGCTGCTTTTGGCTCGAATCCAAAACATCTAAAATCCAACGCTAGAATATCTAACATTTTGGTGAAGCGCTGAACGTGTTACGATAGTAAGAAATAATAGTTTTTTTTAACTTTCACAGGTTGGTAGAAAACTGCTGTAGATACTAGATTTTTTTTTTTGCTTTTTTTTCTTCAAATACTTTGTTAATATAATTAATGCAATATTTTGCACATTACAATACTAGAAATGGTAAACTATATAGCCTAAAGCGTGACGTAAGTGTAGGGCTTATCATTAAAAAAAAGTATTATTCAAAAATATGCTGTAATTGCTGACATCTTAGGCAACAAAGAAGTGTGTGTTTACGCTTTATTATAATAGTATAGATAGATAGAATGTTTTTTTTATCAAGTTATCAAATCAAGAGTTGCAGTTATGTTATAGAGATGCGAGTCAAAATTATTAAAGCAAATTTCGGTTATAAACTTCCTAGCTTAAACCAATCTATTGGTGTATTATTAGAGAAAATCCACAAACTGTAAAGCTACAAACTTTGAACTAGCTTTAGCAAATCTAAACAGGTTATCCATACACGTACTTTTAACCGATACATAGTGAATCGCTTGATGCAGTGTTCGGTGATCCTGGTCGGTGCAAGGAAATATCTTGCTGGAGAAACAAGTTAGAGCGGTTAAAGTAGCGTTAGAAATACCATATTTATCTTGTACTTAGAACCTAGATCAATTAAAATGATTCAAGTATTATTGTAAGGCGAAATGTTTATAATTTTGAAATTAGAAATTACAGACTTCCTTTAAACATTGTACTTCCAACTCTTACGCTTGTATATCTTTTGGTCATTACGCTCATAATAAATCTTACTAATCTTTTAGGATACTTTATATGAATATATATGCGAAAGTTTGAATGGATGGATGTTTGTTAGAAATTGTAACTTAAATTGCTGAACGAATCGCGATGAAATTTGGCACAAATGCAAATCATAGTCTGGAGGTACATAGGCTACTTTTACTTTTTTTAACCGCTTGCAGACGGAGTCACGGGCGAAAGCTAGTAGATATAGGAATATTTCTTTCTGTTCTGTGAGTTTAAAAGTATTGCCAGACATCTGACATTTGAAAAATTACCTTTCTGAGTGTAGTAATACATATGGATAAAATTACCATAACGTATGTAATCATGTGATTAAAGTGATAAGTCATTCCATTACTTACATTACACTAAGCATTCAAGTTGTAAAAATACGGTTTTAGAATATCGAATAATACGGTACGTGTCACTTGCCACATAACATAATGTTAATTTACAGTTTACATTAACTAATATCCTGACAAAGAATACAATTAGACCTTTTTTGTATTTCTAACCTCAGTGCAATTGAATTTATGAATATTACTGTTAGTAAAATCAAACAACTTTTTTCTTATCTACTTCCAGGGTCTCTTGTCTAAATAAAGTTGACCAGTGGTAAAATTCGTCTAAAATAATGTAACTATTTGCACTTTAGCGATGTCTACTGGAAAATAATTCAAATATTAAACGCTATTAATGTTATCTTTAATCACAGTAACGATGAGAACAGTACATGATACCTAATTCACATAATAACTTACAAGCGGATAAACAATGTTATTAAAAATATCAGCTCTGAAGTGCAGTTACAGAGAAAGCTGTAGCTGCTAAATAATCCACTTAAAGTACACTGTATTGAAAAATGAATCTTAATGTTATGAAATACAGTTCAAAACAAGATGTTGTAAGATATCAAACAAATCCAAATGGCACTTTGGTAAGTAAATGTGAGTAATGCGTGCCGGAATCGTTCCACATTATTACCGAAGTCTTTACGCCTACCTTCTATCACAGATTGAGGTTCAGGCCGTCGTATATTCGAGTGGGAGGAGCTCACCTACTCACAGTCCGTTAGACAAACAGACCACTCACTTTTACAGATAATAACTCTATCGAATAAATCGTTTAACTGCGCACTGGTCGTAGAGATGGTTTATCGATACTTTTTGTGGTCATCGAAAAGAAAAAAACATACAATACTTGATTATTTATAACAAAGTTATTTTACAGAGTACTTATTAACTTATAATTTTAAATGCATATTGCGACAAGTACAAATTATGCGGCTCGATCACGTGCCACTCAAAATTAATAAAAGCGACACGAAAAATAACACTTTCAACAAAATAAAATATTCAAGTCATAATCGAATTATGGCGATATCGATTTACTTCATACCGATACCAAATGTACAGCAAAGTGACATATCGTGTTACATTTCTGTTCCACACTGAATATAAAACAGGTTCGAATAAATAATAGGCGCATGACCCAGCCGCTCTCGGTCACTAGGAATCACCGAATGGGTACAAATATGGAATGCTCAAATATGAAAAACTATAAGTTATATGCACTGCGAAGTTGATTACATTAACTATATAAATTTACAAACAAAAAGAAATACTATGTAATGTTAAAATCTACGACGAACGAACTATATATTTATTGAAATTTTAATGGCGGACGTGTTTTAACTCATCTCAATTTCTGTTTACAAAACCCAGCTGTACTATCCGCTCGGCATCGTAAAAACAAAATTGGAAACGGAATAAAACATGAATTTCTGATATCCACACATTTCTCGGAGCTTCCATTTTTACATTAAAATAAGGACAGGACTAAAATGAAACAATGTTTTCACTTATAAACTTTTAATCGTGTAACTATACAAACGTCAGCATCGATCGGATAAAAACTACACAATAATTTACAGTCTTTCGTCTTAATACTTTTTAAAAAATGAACAAAGAAATAAATTACAAACAAGCAAATCTCACAGAAATGCGATAATTTGGTATCATTATTGTACAAGACATATCTAACAAATATTACAAGATTTATATTTACAACACCGGACGATTTCGTTTCGTTAACGTCGGGCGACATTTTAGATCATAACTATACAAAACTGAGATCTTTCGTGGAAGTTTTGATACGACCTACACCAAATAAGTTTGTACAGTGTGTTGAAGGACCACGGATTGTGGCTGATGGTGACGACCATGGAAATCATTAGAGGAATAATCTGAATCTATGGTCGAGTATATATGTTCGGACAGTGGCCGATCGCAAGGCGACCGTTCAGCGGAGTTAGCGGATTTACCGCACAGCGTCTGGCAGGTGGTGTTTAATACAGATGCATCCATCGTGTACGTATTCGAATTCCTACCGTAATTTAGCCTCTTCAACTTTTGCCCGCGTCGTTTCGACGACGGCATCGCATAACGTAATCGTTCCCAAAACCGTTTCTCTTTCCAAGTTATCTCCAAACCCGTTTTGAAATACGACTTCAATTCCGGATCTCGTGGAACGAGCCCTACGGCGACTATTATCAATTTATGTGGGTTCTTTCGTAGCGCTCTCTGCAACGCTTGTCGGAACTCTATTTGCGACCATTCCGTTAAAATGAAATTCTTTGTCAGCACGACGATTATGCGCCGAGACGCTTCGGTCGCTTCGATTACTAAATCGGGGAATTGCGCGTAAGTAGCATCAAATCGAGGAACGTCTCTATAATGTAAACAGAGATGATAAGACGGGTAGCCATTTTCCAGCTCTTGCGCTAAAGACTCAACTACGAACTCTTCGTCTTTGGGACTGTAACAGATATAAGCGTCGTAAAGCTTATCAGCGTCATTAAAGGCGCCCGCTAGAGGCGAGAGCTTAATGCCGCAATTCGAATACAACCACATTCTGCAAGCGTATCTAAATGTGAACACTAAAACTAAAATCAATAAAACAAGCATGAAGCCGGTGAGAACTGACGCCAGTAATGGTATGTTGTTGGAGACGAACAGAGCGCTTATCATCGTTGAATCGCTTATTTCACTACAAACGGTCACATTCAAATTCAAATGTTTTTTCGACGGGTCCATTTTCTCGTTCGAACACCACAAGTTATTAACGTCTACAACTTTTTCAACGTTCTGAGACACGTACGTGAGGAATCCTTGTAAATATTTACAATCGCAAGACCAGCGGTTGCCGGCAATGAATAGAGTTTGTAACTTTTTGTTATTATCCAAGTGCCACAAGCCATAATTTACGAGTCTGTTACCGTCCAAGCGTAAAACTTCAAGAGCGTCTAAAAAGGAAAAAGTTACATTTGAAATAAACTCAATAGCGTTATTTTGGAGATACAATTCCCTCAAGTTACTCAACTTTGAAAACTCAAGGCCCCGAAACTGTTTTAACTTATTGTTGTCTAAATGTAGGATACGAAGATCGACAAGTGTGTCGAATGCGTTTCTATGAAGACTCACTATGTTACTGGAATTTAAATACAATACAACTGCTCTACGCATAGAAGTGAAAACGGTATCGTTGAGTTCATAATAAACATTTCCATCTAAATAAATATGGGTCGCAGTGATCGGAAATTCGCTTGGAATTGTATTGGACTGTTTGACGGAACAATCTACAACGTTAGTGGTTTTCGCGTAATCGTGATAACATGAACAGTTACTGGGACAAACGTTTTTGCAATTGCAAAATTTGAAATCGCAACAGCCGCAGTCATCGGGACAATGATTGTCATATTTACATAAGAAGTCTTTTGGCTGTAGTGAGCTAACGGGAACGTATTTGGCGCCGCGAACGTAAGACTCTTTACAAATCGCGTTATCTAAATCCATGACGCGCGGATATTCCCGCGACGTCATGGAGTTGATCAACAGTAACCACTTCATTGTACAATCGCATCGGAACGGGTTACCGCTAATATAAAACTCAGGCAGTGTTCGATCGTCAGGCGTTCTCGAAATACGCAAACTATTTATATCTAAACTGTCGATCGCATTCGAGTACATATCGACCCGGGTCAAATTATTCTTATCCCTAAACGTATCCGTCTCTATGTTAGAAATAAAATTATTGTTTATAAACAGTAGCTCGATGCTATTCGGTATTGACATGGCGGATAGCGCTACTATTCGGTTATGACTCGCGTCTAAAGTCTTCACGTGTAATTGTTTCTGAATTTTATAGTAGTTTCCGAGAATCTCAATGTAATTGGCGTGAATATCTAACCATTTTAAATTACCCGGAATGAAAGCGTAATCGAACCAAACTAAGTGATTTTCAGATAGATTCAACCACAATAACTTCGTCAACGACACGAACACGCCGTTTATGTCGGAAATAAAGTTTCCATCCAAACGAACGGCTTCCAATTGAGCGTTCCTTTGAAAGGTTTCCTTCTCGATCGACTGTATTTTATTTTTTGCCAGATTGAGTACTTGTAAGCTCGACAGGCCCCAAAACATGCCAGCAGTGAGGTTTCCGATTTGATTGTCGATCAAACGCAAGCCAGTTAACTGCGATAAGTTTTGAAAGGAATTATTTGCTATTTCTGACAATAAATTCTCACCCAAGTCTAATGATTTCAAGAAAGATAATGGCGATATTGCTTCAGGGACTTTCGTCAACTTATTAGAACTCAAATCCAAATCCTTCAAGTCCGAACAGTTTCGAAACGAGTTTTCGCTAATGTACGACAGCAAATTATTGTTCAAATTTAACTTATTCAGAATGAAAAGGCCGTTGAAAACGTGATCTTCTATAGCTATTAATTTGTTTTGGCCCAAGTTTAGAGTGTGTAAATTGAAAAGAGGTGAAAACGCATTGTCTTCAATGTGCCCTATAGAATTATTACTCAAATTAAGTAGTTGCAAAAAAAACAAGTCTTTGAACATGTTTCGCGCGACGCGAGCGAGCGTGTTGTGCGACAGGTCGAGCACGATTAATCTTATTAAACCCCCGAACGTTTCATCTTCTATGTGGTCGCTCCTCAATTTATTCCCCGAGAGATCTAAAACGAGTAATTGTTCCAACCTATTAAATATTCTCTTAGGCAGTATTTCCAGTTCATTGTTTTTCAAATAAATCTCACGAATTTCTCTCGTATTTTGAAATAAACCCTCCGGCAGATAATTTATAGCGTTCTCCGAAAGATTCACAACTTTTAACGACAGCAAGTCTCCGAACACCTCGGCGGGCAGCTCATTTATCTTGTTATTTTGCAGAAACAGTTGTGTCAGCCTCCGCAGATGTAAAATCTCCGAGTCGGCCGGCAGGGACATGATATCGTTGTAGCTCAAATCTATAGTTTGCAGCGTCGATCCACATTTATGACCGAATCCTAATTCGTCTACAAACTTTATCTTGTTTCGTGTTAAATTTAGTGAAATTATATTTTCTAGCGAACAGAACAGGTCCGATGGTATCTTCCTTATGTTGTTGTACGCCAAATCCAACGTGTGCAGCTCCCTCAGTCCGTTGAATGCGCCTAGCGATAATTCCATCTCCTTGTTTTGGCCCCATTCTGTGTTCATTGAGCGTATTGTCAAGGTCTTTAGGCCGCGCAGACCCTCGAATGCGTTACCAGGGAGACGTAGCAGCTTACAGTTATGAATAGAGACCTCGGCCAAACCTTGCAGCCTGCCGAAGTGGTGATCCCTGAGCGTACTCTCTTGTGGCAGCGGTCCGCAGCGCACGGTCAGCCGACGCGCGCCCTCCGAGTGCATCGAACCGGCGACGTCTCTGTCGGAGAGCGCGCGTACGTTGCACTCCAGCGCGCCGCCAGCCGTCACCGAGCAGCCGTCTGCGGCCTGCTCCGACACCACACCACCCATCACCAAACAAAACAACAACACGTTAATTATCATTTTAATCCGCACTGTGACCATAACATTTTCACTCGTCAACTTATTTTGTAGTAGGTCAATATAGTTCGCGATTCGCAAACGGTCATATTAACGACCTGAGCGGGGAATACTATTCACAGTACGATTTCGTTTATGAGCGTAGTAAATAGAGCGAGGCGTAATGGGTTCGTCCGGGACACGGGCTCCCCCCGCGACGACCGGCCGGCGACTGCCGCGCGGATGGCGGGCGGCTGGCGCGAGACGCCATGAACGCACTCGCAGGGCTCGGGCCACACCATCGCGTTCCTATTGCCGCACACTAACTATGTAACCCCCGTAGTTTTACTTTTGTAGGAAACGGAAACCGTTACGTGACTCCGCGTCCATTAATGTTATTAAATGTTGCTTGCATCAGGATCGTAAGCGATCCGCGCGTAATTAGTATACTGGAGACGAAGACTTTCAACAGTGAAGTGTCCATTCAATATTTTACTAATTAAAAAACATTACCCTCCTGAGTCAATCGGGTAAAAATACTAAAGTCGTTTGGTGTTCCATTCAGTATTGTACAAAAGTGATTTTTACCGCATATTTCTCATTGCTCATTTTTGTGTCATGACAATATTTGAATATGATTTGTACATTAGGTTACGTAGTAAAATTAAGTAGTATACAGTCAAATATTATATTGCCCGTAAATAGTAATTGCAAGCCTAATGAAAGTGTGTTAGTTCCATTGTTTCAAACAATAGCCGGCGTGCTGCAATAACTTATGGAATCCAGTCGTTTGATTTAATTCATTCAAGTTTGCTAACTGCGATTCTTGTATTGAAAAATTAGCACTTCGTTTATTTTACCCAATACCAAAAAGGATAAGGATATAAAAAAAATCTTTTAATTCTATATGTTGCATAATAACGACAGATATTATATATAAAAAATTAGATATATAAAAAATGCATAACTATTATTACAATAATCTACTACTTTTACCCACTAAGATTCAACTCCACATTTTATCAAACTAATAAGATAGTTACATCAAACTTTAAAATTGTAAGACTTACTAAAAGTTGTAAAAATAAAAAATGTGTTAACAGTTTGCTGACCCTTGTGTACGACAATGTAACAACGTACAGTCGCGGAAATCCGCGGTGTCCCACTTCAGGAATAATTGATTTGTTTGCAACGAGACAAACTCCGCCTCTTTCGTAAATAACTAATTAGATAGTAGTAAGTGCAAACAAAGGGATAATATTAAAACTAAACTAGCCATGTATGATTTCTTTTCGGATTATTCCTAACCGTCACCCCGCTCTCTCCCTGTCAGTGCCGGGTGACGGTTGGGAATAATCCTTCTTTTCGTATAGATACATTTATAAGCTGCGTTGTATTAATTTGTTCAGCGCTCGTTTCAAAATGTTTGTATAATTATGGCTTTTAACATGGATCACCGCTAGTTTCCCCGATTGTACATAATTCAAAATGTTTCCTTTGTCAAACAGGTTGGTGCCAACATAACTGACGTAAAAAATTCCCCTATGGTTATGACAAGCTACACATAACCAGCTGTGCATTTTATGTTACGATAGATTTCCACTGTCGTTATACTTTGCAGTGGAAACTCTCTTTAAAACCGGCGCACATTGGGCTGTATCCAGTTGCTCCATAGACAACTTTATCTGATGTTTGAAATGTCTCTTTTTTTTGCTTGAATGTGCTTTGTATCAGTAAATGCATACCTTATAACGTAATATTTATCTTGTATCGATGTTTTTGGCGCAATTAGAACGTTTTCTCTGAAAATTTGTATGGAGTCGCCCTCAAAATTGGCGATAACTCAGCTATCGCACAATTGCGCCTTATTTCCTCAGAGATAACGTTTGTACAAGTTGTAACGATTTTTTTGGTATACTATTGGACATGGACACGGGTGCGATTTTTTACTTATTCGAGGTCAAAGGTCATAAAAATTACTTTTTCGCGTATTTCAGCGGAATGGTTAGCTTTATCAAAAAGTTGACTAGGACGAAGTTGTAGATCATGAAATTGCCTATAAAATATCCATACATACTTTTTTCATAAGAGCCATAGTTTCAGAGATATAGCGATTTGCACATCCAAATTGTTCCGATTAATATACCCGATACTTTAATAACTAATAATACCTAACCACTGGAACCAGAGGTTTGAAATTTTGCGTAAAAGTTTCTATTACTGTTTTTGATGAGCGCTAAGAAAGGATTTTACGAAAATCGTCCCGTAAATGTCCAACGTGGGGGTTGAAATTTGCATGGAAAGATTTTCAAGCAAAGTGACTTGTCAAAACATAACTACAATTTTAAAAATAAAAAAGATAAATTAAAAGTAGGACAGAAAAAGTTAATAACGAATGATACTTTTGTATTCGATGTAATATTGATCTTACTAACTTAAAAAAATAACTTATTCACTACCAGTAGATACATTTTCATAATTAGTTTCTGTTTGTAATGTTAAAAACAAACAATTGCAATTGATTAGTAAGTGGGGTTTCGATGGAGCATCGAGTCAGAGTAGACACAAGCAAAGAAGGGATTTTGAAAACGACGATTCCAGCATTTTCATGACGTTATTTTTAACATTACAAATAGAAACTAATTATGAAAATGTATCTACTGCTAGTGAATAAGTTATTTTTACGCAAAATTTCAAACCTCTGGTTCCAGTGGTTAGGTATTATTAGTTATTAAAGTATCGGGTATATTAATCGGAACAATTTGGATGTGCAAATCGCTATATCTCTGAAACTATGGCTCTTATGAAAAAAGTATGTATGGATATTTTATAGGCAATTTCATGATCTACAACTTCGTTCTAGTCAACTTTTTAATAAAGCTAACCATTCCGCTGAAATACGCGAAAAAGTAATTTTTATGACCTTTGACCTCGAATAAGTAAAAAATCGCACCCGTGCCCATGTCCAATAGTATGCCAAAAAAATCGTTACAAGTTGTACAAACGTTATCTCTGAGGAAATAAGGCGCAATTGTGCGATAGCTGAGTTATCGCCAATTTTGAGGGCGACTCCATACAAATTTTTAGAGAAAAAGTTCTAATTGCGCCAAAAACATCGATACAATATAAATATTACGTTATAAGGTATGCATTTACTGATACAAAGCACATTCAAGCAAAAAAAAGAGACATTTCAAACATCAGATAAAGTTGTCTATGGAGCAACTGGGTACAGCCCAATGTGCGGCGCCATTTTGGTTACAAATAAGTAAACATAATTTTAAAAGTACCTAATATCTATTGTTTAATCAACAAATTCATCATCTAACAATTTAAAGATATTTCTAGTGTCTGATTACAACTAAAAATGCAGATTTATTTGCCTCACACATAACGCTAACAAATTGCAGAGTACTTAGAATCATAATTAGACCTCCCAGACTTCCTTATCGGATGTATATGTATTTTATGCATCTTAGACCACACACGAAGGGCAAAGGACTTTAGGCAAGTTGATTGAGAATTGAAGCAATTACACATACCTAATGTAAAATCGAGAAACTGCATAAATATTGATTAACTATTGTTAATGCAAGCAAAAATAACGATTAATTAGTTATTTCTTAACTAGTGCAATCAAAAACATACTTTATTTTGTAGTAATTTAATACTTTAGACATAGGTAAATATTAAACTATATATATGGTGGATGATTGATATAAAAATTAGTAAACAGTACAATAATTCGAACAAGAAAATTTACATTCTCTACAACTGACTCCACGTTAATTATTCTTTTGGTATCGAAGTATATAATAACTAAATGTACGAACACACCTGTATGTACAGGAATGGTCGGTGGTCCCGGCAGCAGCTATCCTAAAACAACATCCGGCATTACCGGCTTATCCCACCACTCTGAGTGCTTTTAATGGCTACCAAAAAAGTAACCATAGATAAAATAACAGCAGAAATTACTAACGAATTTAGTGAGGAATCATTACCGAAAAAAAAAACATTTTTCAATATTAAATTACGAAAGTTATACCTTATTGAATAAATTGAATCTGACGTCACTCGCGGAAATTTTCGGAAAAGATAAATTTCATTCATCTATTTGCAAACTGTATTAACCGAGAACTTACAAGCCAAAACTGTGCTTAACTAAGTACTTTGTTACTACATGTAATAACAAAGTTCATGGTCACTTAAAACCGCATTGAAGATTATTATTAAGAATATAAATGTAAAAATTATATCCTTATAACCTCTACTAACAATTTTTATACATTAGTAATTTTTCGACTACCACTTTTCTAGGAAAATAAAAACCGCATACATTATGAATTGATGAAACATACATAACCTCTAGCATTGTTTACAATGAAATAAATAAAAATATAATCGTTGTATTCACCTACATAAAAACTGGTTGTTATCCAATTACAAATGCTTCACAAACAAGAATAATATCGGTTAGAGCAGCTGCCAGCGTTTTTATTTTAGAGCTACATTGTACTGAATTGTTTATGGTCAAATGTCATACCGATGTCCAGTCAAGTTAGCTTACCGTAGGTTTCCACTGTCGTAACACCCGTGTAACAATTTAGCTACACTAATTATTCTCTTAAAATAAATAAGAGATAACAATAATATTCTTATATCTTTTTGTAGAGTGGAAGAGCCCGCTTTAACATCTTTGCACGAACGGGCCGGCTCGCCCGGTGCAATTCCACGACCACACAGAAGACAGGCGTGAAGTGGAAGCAATTTCGCGTTTCGTCTGATGAGTGTGGTGCCGGAGGCCCAATAAAAGTCCCTTTCCCTTTCCACCCTTTTCTTAAGAGGAAAGGATGACAAGGAAACGTGGAATTGACTGTGGAGGAGGACTGTGTAAAGAAAATCTGTATATCAATAATGTCACTAGTCAAAACCCACAATAACCTGATCAAACCCCAAAATACGTAACCTATGTAAAACTCCGCCTTCAGTTGCGTAGCAAAAGTTTACTATAAGCTTTTACAAACTACCGCATACTTGCTACAGCTTCCGCGGCCAGCGCTCGAACTATTTGACGTCATAAAGGCATATTTTTGAAAACTCTACTTACGTAGCTGTAATGAGAGTTAACCCGAAAATCTGTCGCGCTAAAAGTTTAAAATGCGATTAAAATTAATATTGGGAAATGAACACGTATGTTTCTGTAATACACTAGTTATTTTAGTTTCAACGAAGTTTTTAAAAGAGAAAGAACAATAACTACTTATATTTGTTATATGTAAAACAAATTAAAAACAACTACATATGAACTTTCGCACATACTCTTGTTTATAAAAGCGGGCGCAAATGTTTGACTAAACAACTGTTGTGCGATTGTCGATTGTTTCGCAGCAAATTCAACTGTTTAGTTGCACAACTAAAAATCGAGTAGTGTGCGCACCTCCATATAAGCTCATAGGAATCAAAGCGAGACTAAACAGTAGAGCGATAGTTTAGTAGGAGGTGTGCGCGCGCTCTAAATATAATAAAGTCTGTCTGAAGATGTTTCAAGTCTCTAGTTTACTTATAACTGGGAATAATAGATTATGCATTCGTTAAGCTAGATCTGTTTTATTTATTACACATTTTTTTGTATTATTTAAAGGTGTTAAGTTAAGCTTTGTAAAATACAATTTACCATTATTTTCCCGTATTCTCGCAAATATTTCGCGAATATCATCCGAACGGGCGTGCGTCTGCGGTCAAACTTCACGGTATTCGATCATAATTATTTGGTACAGTGCATTCTGAAAAGCAGTTCGGCTTATTAATTAATTACGAACGGTTTATATAAATCCATTACATGATGTTTCCATTAATAATATATTTTACAATCTCTAGTTTTATCTATTTTAGTGAGACCTAAGTACATCTAAGATTTTCTATGTATTCTAGCGACAGATAAGTGTTTAATCGACAACCTAAGGTCACCATTAGGGGAGTAAGCAGTAAAACGATATGACAATGTTTTGTAGAGTAAAACGACATTATAATTATGAAGTTATTTATTACTTTTAAGTTTTAAAATCATACCACAGAGGCATCAATCTGTAAACAAATACAAATTAACCTAGCTATCTCAAAGACAATAGGAGTCATAAATACTAGTCAATCTTTTATGCCACAAAATAAAAACAGAGCAATCATAAATCAATTGAGAGAATATAACAAAATATTACCAGTGGCTTATCACATAAAAAATGATCTGCAACTCGTTCTCAGATCAGTTGAATTTGTATCTAGAGGTACGACATATATGAGCTCGAAAAGTTCATGACATTTCAGCTCACATAGTTATAGTAACATAACATTTAATTATGAACGGCTTATTTAGTTGCCGAGCCACAACTCATACTAAGTGAACGGATCAATTGAACCCGGTTCAGAGTATTCCACATGTTTAATGATTACACTAAATAAATTACATTGCTTATTTCACTCACTCATTTTATTAAACCTTTCTTACATCTTTGCTTAATTGAATTCATTTACTCGCAAAATCTAACCCATTGCTCAATATACAGTTCACTTGGTTTTATAGTTTGATGTAATGCAACTACATATCTTAAGATAACTAAAATTTTCTAAGCATTTACAAATTTAAAACCATAACTTAATCAATATTTTTTCCTCAAATTTTAAAACGAAGTGTTTTATTAATTGGAATCAATTCCATTTACATTTTATTGAACTAAACAATTGCAAATAGAAATGTAGTCTATAGAAATATTCTTATTTAAAAAAAATGTAACATAATTTAAAAATGGTGTAAACATGGCATAATATCTCATTGAATAACATTTTAAATGACATGAAAATCAATTTTGAAACAGAAAAATGTCAATAAAATTACTCAACAAGTCTTTCTTTAATTAAAAAAAATTTCGTCATTATGTTACACAAAATAAAGCAAATTCACATCAATTCGAAATAGCTTTTATAGAATAAAGTTGACCATACCAAAAATAGATAATTCCTCACAACACTATGGTTGCCATACCAAGTTGTGTACCGACGCCATTTTGTTGTGCAAAGTTCAGTCTTGTTTCACATTGATCAAAAAAATTAAGAGTAATAAATATTTTTGGTATGTTTCATTAACATTAACCGCTTTCAATATTTACAAAGCTTAGTTGAAAAAGATTAAATGTGTAATCAGATAAACTAAAATGTGCCAGTAACATTTGTATCTGTAATTGTTATATAATCTGTGCTATAACTCATCTAACAATGGCATCTATAACAAAGAACAAGCTATTGTTATGTATATTCTTTAACAGATATTCAGATTTTATAAACATGCTCCCTTAAACAGATATGAAAATACGACGGCAATGATATCTATTACTAAATAACTTTGTCAAATGGACAAAAGCCTAGTAACATTGTTATGAACAGATCACTTGAAAACCTTTAAGTAGTAATCTAATTATTGCAAACTTCCATAATAAAAGGCCACTGGTTACGTTTACACTTTTCACGTTAAGTGGAATAGGCTCACACGCGACACAACTCGAGGAATTAACCTCGAATCCGCGGCATTTGACTAGAGGAACTGTAAGCCTATTACATCGCAACACAAAACTCCACTTCCAATACTGAATTCAGTTTATCACACCATTGTTAGTTACCTCGGTCCATCCAATGAAACAATAACAACTAAAAATTAAAACACTAACACTATTCACTATACGCGTCTGGCGAAACAAAACTGCTAGCCCATACTGCAAGAACTTGCTGAAACCTTTTTTTTGTAGTCACTTTACACTACTGGAAACTCCACGGAGGTTTATATCTTGCTGTTTGTTCCAAACACTGTATGGGGTGTGTCAACACCGGCAACGCTTCCTGAAGACGGGTCTGTTGATCTATTTGTCAACAGCCTGTATATGGTCAGGTCGCTCACCGCGTGCGTACTTTGCCCACATACGCGCGTACAACATCTCGAGACCGGTCGCATACGCTTTACAATCAAACAAAGGACTCTCCGTTCTCGCAGTCCATACTTTCGCACGGATTGCTTTCAAACTGAAAGAAAAAGAATTAATTAATGATTGTACTTGTATTAAATGATTAAGTAACACTTTAATTTGGCAGTTTTACTTACTATTCTCTATCTGTGCCTAATCTTACAGCTATATCTTGATATTCCTGTCTCGTTCTTGCGATGAGTTCGGGACAACCGAGGGTATTTAGTTGTGAAGCTGCAACTCTGTGAAAATTCAATTATAATCTGTTAATCATGTTTATAAATGTAAAACTGTTTGTTGTGGATAAAAGAGATGGCATAAGGTGATTTAATATTTTGTAGAAAGGAATGATAACAGTTTAAATTCAATATTGTATAGAAAAAGATGGCAATAGATGATATCATATTGTGTAACAGTGGAAAGGGGTGTGAACATGTGGTAATGTGTAGAAAGGGGGTACCTAGAGGCGAGCGTCTCCCCGGGCAGCGTGACGACGGGCGTGCCGGTCCACAGAATGTCCATGCTGGTGGTGTGTCCGTTGCAGAGCGGCGTGTCGAGGCACACGTCGGCGAGCTGGCCGCGCCGCACGTGCTCCTCCTTCGCCGCCACGTTTGAGAATATTATACGACCCGGCGGCAGACCTGCTCACAAACACATTATTTTCATTTACAATAGTTAAAAAATGCGATATGAATTTAATTAAGAACTTAAAAGCGCTTCATAATTGAAAAAAAATAAACCTATGAGACAAGGAAGAAAAAATTTCATAAATTCCAAATCATGTCACATGGACCAACTTTCAAGTCATTTTTGTGATAGATGTAATTATTAAATTTGTATTACTTTTATAATAGAAACAAATATTTATTACCATTCAAAAAAAGTTTTACATATAAGCTAAGGTAAATACACTAAATAAAGTATCTGACAACTGTTTGCAGGGACGGCCGGGGCCATACCTGTTTTTTTTTAAGCTGATCCTTTACTTACCTAATTGTTGTGCAGTTGACTGCAAGTTTGGTTCACCTACTGCTGGGAACCTCAAGAGCCAGAGTACACTGTTAGGTACGTGTTTCAATATGTACACCCACATGTGTAGAGTCAGGGGGTCGATCTTGTATAGCTGGTTGAAGTTGCAGTAGACTACAGCATCATCAGGCAAGCCGTACTGCTGCCGTGTCGTGATCACGATAGACTGGGGCACCTCCTCACCAGTAGCAGCCTTGTTGTTTGTCTGTGTTGTTGCCAATCCGTTTTGTAAAATTACTCCATTAACTGATGTCTGCAAAATAATATTAAATCGTTAATATGTTCACAAAGGGTTAGATATCTAATTGGTTTGTATGTACAACTCCAATAAAATCTAAATTGTCTAACCTGTATTTGTCCTGATGCAATCATAGTTTCAATAGGCGTGGTCGTGGGTAGTTCAGCTACTTTCAGTGATATCTCCAAAGGTCTGGCGGCTCGCACCACCTCCTTTATCTCCTTGATATCGGTATTCTCAACCAATGGGGACAGATCTGTCGCATTGATAACTGCCACGTTGTCAGCTAGAGTTCCGAGGCTGTTGTGGGATTTGATTTTGTCGCTCAGAATAAGTCTCTCTTGTAAATGTGGGAACATTTGTTTGTGATCGCCAACGAAGAACGTGTGAGGCATGTAGGCCAGTTTTTCGCTATACTGACTGGCCAATTCCAAGGGAGAAGTGACGCCATCGGTGATGATATAATCCATGTAGTTAGCGCCGCTGGTGCCGGGGTAACCCAGCCACATGACCTGTACCGGCGAGGGCCGCAACGCGAATATTTCATTCCGCGCACCTTTAGTGTAACCATTCATGTTCACCAAAATATGAATTCCGTCCGCGTAGATTTTGTCTGCCGCCTTACCGTTGCATGGCACCTGAGATAAGTCGACGAAGTGCTCGGACTCGCGGGCTACCTTCGAGCGGAAAGTGGTGCCGTCGTCAGGGCTAAGCGCGTAGCAGAAGATCTCTACCTTGGCGCGGTCGTGCAGACCCGGCACCGACTGCATCAAGTGCGATGTCGGGTGGTTGCCGAAGTCGCTGCTCACGTAGCCGATACGTAATCGGCCTTGCAGCTCGCGACCGAACTTGTACGGCGCTTTGTGAAGGATCTGAACCTTTTCTAGACACAGGTTGGCGTGGCGCGCGGCGATCGCCTTCCTGAAATCGTGCGTCAAGGGATACAGCATGGAGTGATGCGGGTGCACCGAAGGCAACCTGTTCTTATCTATCTGTTCCGCTACTATGCTGACGAGTTTCTTCATACGCGCCTCATAATCGGTCCAGTCGCACACGATTTGTAGACAATGTGCCAAGTTGCAATACGCATCGGGGAAATCTGGCTTCAGTTTCAATGCGGTTCTGTAAGATTGTATAGCTTCGGGAATGTTCCCGGAGTCCTTGTGAATGCTGGCGAGATTGCTGTGCGCGTCGGCGAAAGCGGGGTTGATTTGTATAGCTCGGGTGTAACATTGCAAAGCTCCGGCCACGTCTTGCATTTCTTTGAGCGTGTTGCCCATGTTACTGTAGGCGTCCGCGAAGGTCGGCTGGATCCTGATCGCTTCCTTGTAATGCATGAGCGCTTCATTGAGTTTGCCCTGTTGTTGCAGTACCGAGGCCAAGTTACTATGAGCTGCGGCGAATTCCGGGAATACTTCCAGAGCCTTTAAGTACAGACGTGTAGCTTCTTCGATATAGCCTTGTTCACGTTTGATGTTGGCTAAGTTATTGAGTGAATCAGCGTGAGTGGGACACAAGCGCAGCGCTGTGTTGTAGCAGTCCTCGGCGTCGGCGACTTGACCTTTTTCTTTCAAAGCATTAGCCAGGTTACAATATGCATCCGGGAAATTAGGTTGCAGTTCTATGGCTCTTCTATAGGTGTCGACTGCCAAGTCGATCAAGCCCTGTTCGTAATATACGCACGCCAAGTTTCCATGAACCACGGCATTATTTGGCGATAAATTAAGAGCTCGTAAATACGCCGCCACGGCCCTGGTAACACAAAATAACGTTACGTTAGAAAACAGTTTTTGTATTTTGGATATGTTGCATTTACCATTTTGCTATTTTTGTTACCTGTCAAATATTCTAGCTTCTTTGAGAACATTGCCCAGATTGATATAAGCGTCCAAGAAATTCGGGTCCAAAGCCACGGCCTTTTCAAAATGGTGAATTGCCAACCAGATTTCACTTTGGGCGTTAAAAACGCAACCCAAGTTACTCCAGGCCACCGCAAAGTCGGGCCTTGTTTCGATGGCCTTCAAGTAACAAGCCTACACACACGGACAAAATTGAATATTATTATACGCGATAGAGTAAACATTTTAACATTAATGAAGTATTGAGATGTGTTTTACGCCAGAAAAGATTTTACACCAAGGCATGTGAATGACGACCGGTAGCCGAATTCCAAACCTAGGCCACCGAGCACCAGTCAACATTAGCTTATAATATTACGCCAAATGCGCCCTACTTACTGTACGCTACGCCGAAAGCGGTAACATCAGTAGGAAATGCAAACAAGTCACGTTATAATACAAATAAACAGAAAGACAGTTTACAATAAAAAAAAACATATATAGATTGAAATATTTAACCGACTGAGCTTCCACTTCCTAACCGATGAGAGGATGGTAACGACAATGAGAGAACAATGTGCACGAGATGTATCCGATATCCTGTCCAAAACAATTTCTTGCAAACCTTGAACACTTTACCTTCGTGGCTCAGTGGGGAGTCATCGCTGCGGGAGAGAGTGTTGTACCAACCGTTACCAGCTACATACCGCATCGCTCACACCTACTGTCTTACCAGACAACACCTTGTGAAAATATAACACAATTAGTTGATTTTGAGTCAAACTGATTCCGACCCGATTCATTACTAAATCAAATGTTCATTTACAAAAGGATCATTGTCAGGCTCGTGCCGTCACGACGACGCGGTGACGTGACGCGGCCGACGAGCGAGCGACTAAATAGTATCTGAACAATGTACACTACACGTCGCTAACAAATATATGCTAATGACTTCTCTGATCCTCCATTGCAATGTATCGTTACAACTACAAGCACAAGGATTAGAACTAAGTGAATATTGAAGGAAACAGGACATTAACCAAATCGAAAATATTCATACACAAAATACTACTATCAGCATACTCTCTATTATGACTTCAATCTTCCACACGACGTTTGAAACTTACAAAAGAATAGAATGAAAAACTCCAGATTCATAAATTTGATTTAATTAAAAAAAAAACATATACGTGGTGTGGAAGATCTCTTTAAATTTACGCAAGACGCTTTCAAAACATATTTAACAAAAGTATTAAAACGACGCTTACATTTTGTGATCAATACAAATATGGAACAAATCGGTGAACAAATAAATTCAATGTGCGAATTGTCATGCGTCGTTCACGGATTCGTTCACACAATCGTTATAATGGGTTCAACTGACGACGTAATTACTTTAAAGGAAATATATCTAAACAATATTGAAACCATTATAAATACGCAATGCCTTACCGTGGGTACCTACGCTGTAACAATGTACGCTGACGTAACAGAGAGTACGCTAATTTGTTATTATACAAAGGGAACGAGTCCTAGAGTCCTGTTAGCTTCAGACAAACCATACAGCGGAAAACGAGATATTATTTACCTTCGCCTCGTCGAGCCGGCCCAGAGCCTTGAGCAAATTGCCCAGGTCGCTTCTAACGCAGTAAAGTTCCTGAGACAATATTAGAAAAATATATTAAAATGCATACATTGATGATACACGACAGAACTGTCATAGTAACAATACATGAAATGCATGGTTATAGAAAGATTAAATTGTGTAAAAAAATATTAAATAACGATCTCTTGCCAGCGATTAGTCAGTTCGGAATTCCAAAAAAAATGTAAGTAGTATTCGACTTCCACAATATTTTCTACATCTATGCCAAATTTCATCAAGATTCGTTAAGCCGTCTTGGCTCGTAGCAACGAACATTCATCCGTCCAAACATTTATAATATTAGTATGAAGTACAATGTGTAAGTATAGACAAATTTACATTACAAAGGTCATATTCTCAATCAGGAGATTTTCCATGTACATGATGTGACATTTTTGACCGACTTCCTAAAACGAGGTACTCAAGTCGTCTATGTTTTTGTAAACAGATATAAACACTTGTTTCATGCCAATATTCGGCACTGCGACTTCACAGTAATGACAATAAACAACAGCTATAGTTACAAGAAACCACCACAATTCGGTTACCTACTTAATAATGTCATTCTAAAACTTGTTCTTATCCTTTCAGTCTTATCTTTTAATTGTAATCTCTAAACAGATAAAAGTTTACACAAATCTTTTCATTTTTATTTAGAAATTTTAAATCGCGTACATTTTCAAAAAGAAGTCAATTCAAAATATTGAAATCATTAGGCCATAGAATATAAGTACAATGTATAGTGATGACAAACAAGACAATAGGTAATTGCCGAAGCAGGAAATTAATCCAGCGAGCGAGCACTCAAGGCTAGCGTTATATAAATATGTTGCTATGAGATGTATTATTTTACCGTCGTTGCCTTTTATGGCGTAACGCCGTCAATGTTAATGGGAATTTTTTTCATGACGTATTGTTAGCATAATTTCGAGTCTCAATTGTTTGGATTTAATATTATACAATACTCTACAAATACTAATTCAATATTGAGAATCATGATTTAATTTCTTGTAACAGTAATTTCTTTGTCTTATTTTATTAATGGCTTTCGCCCGCGACTCCGTCCGCGTGGAATTAAAAAAAAAACAAAAGTGAGTAGTCTATGTGTACATCCAGACTGTCCTTTACATCTATGCCACATCTCATCAAGATCTGTCCAGCCGTTTAGGCTACTAACTCCAACATACATCCATCAATCCATCCATCTAAACTTTCGCATTTACAATATTAGTAAGATTAAAACTGTTATTCATACCTTTGTTATATCCCTCATTCTTCACACATGTTTATAAATCATACAACTATAAACTATTCTACACTTTATGCCATCTTGATAACTCTTATCTATTAAATCTGCATTAATTCATATTTTATACAAAACATTTCAACAACTTTAGATAAATTCAAGGGCATTATTTGTGTTATCATAAATACAAGTACAATATTTATTTCATAAAAAAGTAATTCTGGTATAGGAATCATGTCATAAACATTCCTCCCCTAGTTTAGGCCCTTCATGGTCTTATGGTCACCCTAATTTAGGGTAGGCTCCAGCCCCAAGTGGGGACATATAGTTTTAATTAAGAAATATTCCTCTTATATGTGATTTTATTTACTGGATAGATAACATTTCAAATCATATTGTAGATTACAATACAAGCTGATCAAATAGCAAGATTTGAACCTGAACTATAGATCACTACTCTGTATTCTTAACAATTCAATTATTGGTACATTTCAAGATAAATCAATGATTAAAATTATTACTTACAGGATTATACTGCAGTGCTGTGACATAAGCTTGTACAGCTTGCTCCATATCTCCAGCGGCCACAAGTGCCGCAGCCAGGTTAATATATCCATCAATAAAGTCGGGCTTCAACCTTACCGCATGCCTATAGTTCTCCAACGCCTCTTGTAACTGGCCACGCTCTTTGTATACATTACCCAAGTTACTGAAAATAAAACTTAAATAAAATTTCTGTATTATGGTATTTTGAAAATGACAAGAAATCTGTCTCTGTGGGTTTAACAAAACTAAATTTAGTTAGGTAACTTGCCCTATCCTTTAAGCTATTCCATGATGTATGTAAAACCTAGTTTTACATATTTTTTGATAGTAACTAATTTGGATATTATTTTTTTCTAACTATCATAATTGTTTTAATATGCAATTTTGTACAAATTAACTATTACAACACAGTTGAAAATGTTGTAATTATGCATTTTCATCATATTTAATTGTTTACATTGCTCGATGGTTGCAAACAATATGCATTCTATTGCAATACAATTATGAGAATGTTTTCATATGGAATTCCATTTGAGGTTTAAAATTAAATACTCTGCAAAGGTTGACAAATCCAGAATTTTAATTTTATATGTTCTATGGTGAGGCATTTATCTCACATGAATGCAACTCACCAGGATATTGGTGGAATAGATGTATTTATAATAGCACTAGCTGTTCCCGTGCAACTTCATCCGCATAAAATTATGAAAATGTTATTTTATTGTTTACATGTGTAAATTATCAATTGCAAATGTCAAAATGACATGACATCATCATGTTGGCATCACAAAGCATGGCAACCTTGCTTCCTTGATGTTGGCAGCAACTTATGGTCTCTTTCCCACATTAGGGTTTTTATCCAAAATATTTACCCCTAAGTTTAATGGCATGAAAATATATAGCCTAAAGTGTGACGTAAGTGTAGATCTTTTTATTCGAAAATATGCTGTAATTGCTGACATCTTAGGCAACCAAGAAGTGTCTGTTTACACTTTATTATAATAGTATAGATAACTAGAAATGTGGGAGGACAGGGAATACCATTCCACATTTCCTTCAAACAATAACCAAATTTAGACTTGAAGCAACCACCAAGTATCAAGTAACAAACCGAATCATACCATGTTTTCAATAATTGTTTTGTATTCATTGGGATTTTCACACATGTATGAAGTTTAGTAAACATGGATGTAATAAAAATACATACTTTACTTCCTGGGAATAGAGTTGAAAGTCTCATGTGTATGACTTTCTCTAGATGTTTATAGGTATCACTTGTCATACAAGACAAGAGGACAGTAATTTTTAATAACATAGAATACTTGTGAGATTGTAATTAAATAAATAACCCACTATATTACAAATTTACAATAATGAAAGTATGTAAAACATAAAGGTACCTGTAAGCTTCAGCCAACAAAGGATTCTGTTTAATGGCAAGAGTTGAAAAGTGAGCAGATTTATCCAATCGACGGCATTGAAAATGAATTGATGACAGCAATAAGAGAACCCCAGTGTTGGTGCCATCTTGACGCCATAACTGCATGCAATGCAACTCTGCACTATCATAGTCTCCTGCCTGGTATTCTCGGTGTGCTAATTCTAGCAGTCCTAATGTAAAACAAAGTTATGAAACCTTAGTTTAATCAAGACCTTGTTTATAACAAAGGCAAAATATTTCTTAAATGTATGACAATCCATAACAATGTCAAAAAATCTACAGTAATAAACCCAATGAACAGGCAGAAACACTCACCAACAGTAGATATTTGTTGTATATCCGACATTTTTAAGATCACGGCATTTGCAGGAACACCGACTATTTGTTGAGGTTGCGTCGTGACAGATTGTGGCACTGCCACATTAGCTTGAGGTTGCATTTTTGTTATCATATTTGTAACGCACTGTATTATTCACTTGATTAACCGAAACTAGTAAAACTCATGAAAACGGAAAAAAATGTTGTCAGTAATTTTCCATGACAAAGGAACGCAAGATGCCTTCAACAACGAACTCTACGAACTTTTGAGAGCGATAATCAAATCAAAGGCAATATTGCGATAACACGCGGAAATTAAGAGGCACGGATGCATTATTGTCTGTGGTTCCACACAAATTAGAACCTATTTTTTTTACTTATGAATTTAACTATTTTTAACACTGTAAAATAAACAAAGTTATATGATAATAATAAAAAGCTATAATTTAACTGTATGACGGTTAGACTTAAAGTTAAAATAGTTAAACTTAAAAAATAAAAGAAGAAAAATGTCATTTCCGTTGTACTCTCTGGATCATTTTCAATTTTCACCAAGTATACAGATTAAAAATTAATGATATCGACATTTCTTGACCTTGAACTAGTACTGTTCAATTTCATACAATGATTTAAAATTTCCATTTTAAATTAGCGGCCCTTAGATGACATATGATAAGTAGGAACGACCACTAAACATTAGCAAAACAAGCAAGGGCCTGCAGGCTGTTTTCAACGCTTGGTAACCGCGCAACCTTTATGCGCGGTTTATGATACACTTGGCGAGTATAGTTGGTCAGTAGCGCCCTGACTCAATTAACTGGCAAAATGTAAACGCTAACAGGTGCCAATGAGTGTAACTTGCCATCGCAACTGTCCAACTGTACTGGCAAAGTAAGAACGGGGCATTTCACCTGTACATACATGTACTCAGATTTCCCAATACATTTCTTAGCTAATTTTATACAACCACGTCGATTCATAATAACAGCTACTAATGATTTTACAAAGGAACTTCAGTAATTTTTTACAAAAATATGTGCAAGTATCTTAATTAGCTTCAAGAGTGTGTAAATAAAGCACAAGAAAGAAAGAACAAATATTTTTATTACGAAAATATAAAATGTCACGGATAAAACGTAACAAATAAAAAATGTATTACTTATTCTTAACATACATTTTATTGGACGGCAAATATCACATATTAAAAAAACTGTTTTTTTTTTATAATCAAAAGCTTTTTTTCAAACATATTGTGACCCCTACGTTACTCTAAATAAGATAACAAGTGAGCCACTTCTGTTAGATCCTGTGGTACAGACTCGTGATAGCATATGTATAGCTCTCGTGGTTCTGGTTCACTAAAAACTCGCCTGAAATAAAAAAGATTGCAATCATAGTCAACGTAAACTTTCATTATAGCAATTAGTTAAATACTAGAATTATATAAAAATTATAGGACACATTTTTATATGCTTAATTTGATATAAAAATAGCATTGAAAGAAAATGCTTATTTGCTATCTCTTCCAAATTAAACTTTTCGTTAAAATACAAGTTAAAAACAACAGCAGATTATTAGTAGAGTTTAGTGTACTAAAAATAAAATATCTATGGTATTAGAACAATGAGAAATGGAAGTTATTATTTAATAAAAATTGTACTAAATTTAAAATAGATATGAACAATAGAAATCCCTAAAAAATATTTTAATCATTTAGTAAAGCAACAAAAGCGAGTTTAAAAACCGTTATAAATGATTCCATACCCGACAACCCAAAATAGATATGGTTCACAATTCTTTTTATTAATGCCACATTGATTGAGAACATCTTGGGGCACTTCGAATAATGTGCCACATTCTCTCACTGCCACTAAGATTTTATTTAACGGATTTGATGGCGCATGGTTCTTCTTAAATCTGTAAAAAATAGCTCTAAATAACTATTTTTATTATTACTATGTACATAAATAGATAAAAATTTCACTTTTGTTGTACAAAAAGTAATCTTAAAATGTCTTCATAATTTAAAGATTACAGTCAAATGCAAAAGTTTAAGCTTATTCACCTGAAGTATAAAAATATTTAAATTTATGTCTAGAATCTAATTCCTAGAGGTTTAGTTTAATTTATTTTACAAACTCACTTTATACTATACTGTAGTAAATCATGTATCTTTTTACAAGCTTTTCTAAAACTAGCAACAATGTAAGAATACAAAATGTTGTTCGCTTGTAATTCAATAGTTTTTATTGGGGCTATTAAAACTCCTTTCTCGGATTCCAGTTGTATAAAATGAAATAGGACATTCTCTTCTCCGGCTGTTATTCTGAAAATGTATTTATTAAATTATTACCACAGTTATGAAACCTGAAAATACATTTATTTTTAATAGGGTGCTCTTAATTTTTTTTTACCTGTGCACAGCTACATGATTTAGTTCATTTAACAAACTTTTTCTAATATCAGTCATATCAATATTCCCGCTAGTTCTGCTCCCGTCCTGTAATATTGAATTTTTTTATTATTTAAAGAAAGAAAGGGTAAAATATCTTCAGATCCCTTTATAGTATTTAATCCAACGCTAAGGATGTTGCCAGCCTTTATATCGTTATGCTTTTTTATGCTACATTATAATTATGAATTTCACAACAAAAAACATAAGAAAATCCACATGAATCTAAAAATTCGTGAAATTGTTAAAACACTCATATTGAAGTTGTTTTTTTTTTTAAGGGAAAAATGTAAAAATATGTAATCATTATATTGCAGGCCCAAAGGGGTACTAAGTGTTGTTACTTTGTATAGATGTTTGTACAAATTAATTACAATAAATAAATAGAGTGTATAATATTAACCTGTCTGTCCCAATCGGAGTCTGAGCCGGAGGAATCTCGGCGCGTTGTCTGGTGTCTGAGCGCGCGCCGCCCGCACACGCGCTCAGAGCTCACTTCACTACACACAACTTAATGTCATTAAAATTTATAGGAGTAACATTTATGTAGGACCAGCCCAAAATTTCTTCTGAATGAAATTAAAAAAATAATAAAAGAAATATCATATGTTACTCATTGATGACAAAGCTTCTTATTATTTTGAAGTCGGCCCAGTAGTTTTTGAATTATTTCAATACATACAAAACCTCCTTCTATTGGGAAGTCGGTCAAAAAATACAAATCTTTCCTCTGTAAAATATTAATATAAACTAGCTGTTGTTAATTCAGATACAGCCTACATGTTCTTTTAAACTATGTTTACTCGGCACAATTTTCTACTCCTAATTCATCTCTTCTTGTATTATTTGTCTTATCTGAATATTTTTTATTCTTTGGCTAAACTGACAGCACCAAAAGCAACTTGTCAAATTGTTACAGCTGATATTACAATAACCAACTGAACCGAATCGAAAAACAATTAAAACATACCTATTGCTCTTCAAACTGTTAGAGTCTTCTGAATAACTGACATCTAAATTACTGGAATGTCTATAATTCTTCTGTGAGCCGTTGTACCATTGATGGTAGAGGCTATGATGGCTCATACTATGATAGTTGTTTATAGGGTTGTCAGTTGAACTTGTGCCTGAATTAATTTGATCCGAAGAGTTGTGTCGTCGCTTTAAATCCGGCTGAGATTTAGATAATTTCAGTGTAGTGGTCCTGAAGTTATCTGATTTTTGAGCTACAAATTAAAATAAATGTATTTCTTTTTAATAACATGGACAATAATCGATTTTGACCATAACTGTAAAATAATCATGCACGGAGCGAATTTCGTTAAGTGAAAAAGAAGAAAGATAAAACGTGACTGAAGTACAAAGAAGAAACATATTTAAATAGAGTTTTTGCAACAATTTGATTTAAACTATTAATAAAGTCATTATGAACTTACAATTACTATCTCTCATTTTCCGGCCGTACTTAGTCAAGTATTCAGGTGATGTTTCAACTTGAGGGAATGTGTTTGATGAGAACCAGGAAGCCAAATATTTATGCAAGCCCACTTCGTAAAGCAATTCCAAACAGCTTTCGCATTCCTCTACATAAAATGGAGATGGTGACGTCACACCAATCGCCTGTAAAATATTTATAACATTAACTACGGAAAAATTGAAAATGATACTTGAAAAGAGTGGAATCAAAATTAAGAACAAAATTTACGTAAATGACATATGTCTATTCTCATAATGTGTATTCTCATACATACATACATACACAAATACATGCAGATCTAATGAAAGCAAGAAGAAATAGTGACAGAAATGAACTAATTTTAATTACTTACATCTTCTGTACAACCTCCGGCTTCCATAAGGGTGGCTAATATAAAATGACCCTTACCTACGATCAAAAGAAACCAACGACCATCTGGTATTCTACATTAAAAAAATAAAAAAAAGTTGGACAAAACAACACAAACAAATTAAAACAGAAATCTTAGATTTTTACCTATTTTCATTTCTGTCGCTTTTATTCTGACTTCTATATTCTTTGATAAAAACTTCCTTCCACATGACAAGTTTTTCAAACTCCTTTTCGACACTAAGCCTTAATATGCTATTAAATTTTAAATATGCATTGATTTCTATTAAGTCTTCATCACGTAAATGTGAACTTAGTAAATGCCCAGAATAATAAAGACATGCTCCAATTACAGTGTACAGCCTTTGAAAATTTTCAACATCATCTGTCTGAAATTGTAAAGAAAACAGGAAATTGAAGGTGTCAAAAAATGATAATCAAAACATCATACATTCCACTTTAAGATATAAATATGTAAAATAAGGGTTTGCTAAGACAGACTCATAGAGAAGTACATTTTTATTGCAAATTAAATTGAATCCTCTTAACAAGAGCAAGTATAAAAATAGAAGCTCGGGTCTGTGTACGGACCCTTCGTGATTAAAATGTAGCATTGAATTATGTGATACCAACCCATTCACGATAATCAGCTGCTTCTAACTCTGTTATTGCATCATCTATTTGTATTTTCACTTCCAACGGTAAAGTCACTGCATGACAAGCTACAAATTCTTCAAATAACATTGCATTAACTTTTCCTTCTTCCTTATTTTTATAATTATCAAATAATAAATTTACGAATACACGAGAGAACAAACCATCCAACTTATCTACATTATTAGGCTTTGTAAAGCAAGATTTTAATGATCCGTAAAGGAATTCGAGAATATTTACAACATGTCCGATTAATTTTTTAGCACAAAATAAATCTAAATTCTTGTTAGGAACAGCCAATAAAAGTAAATCAGTAAAATGTGATGCATATGTCACGTTAATTAAAGTATTATTGTATAGAACTGTTGACACAATTGGTTCACTAGTACCTAGTGATTTAGGGGCCAAATGATTCAATGTTACATATGCCCCTCTTGTGTTATAAAGGAAATTTTGATTGTATGGCCGAGGGTAGCAATAAAGTACTCCTTTGTCATCATTACTCTGATACTCCACATCATTACAACATATATATAGAACTGAACACATTGAATCTTTCAACAACTGTGTTAGGGAATTCTCCGGAGCATTTTTTAATGTTAATAATTTAACAACATCAATATTAAATCCACCTGTTACTACTTGGAATGTTAATTTTGGACTTTCAATATTTTCAATTACTCTTTGTAATATATTATTAATGTTGTAAGAATTAACTTCAATACCATTTATTTTAATCAAGTAGTAACCAACTTTGACTCGAGGAATGTATATTGCTTTAGCTTCTGTTAAGAAATTAGCAACAATTAATGTCTTCCCATCCATATGAGTTTCTAAACTCATGCCAAATAATTTCTCTATTTGACAATTCTTTTCACTGTTAAATATCATATTTTTGCTGACCTGAAATTTTATAGAAAACAAATTAAATTTGATTATAGATTTTTTTTTCTGTGGCTTAATTACTTAAAATATGTTGCCTTTATTAAAATGTTCGAACTTCTTAAATAACAAATGTATGTCATTTACATTTATTTGCCAGTTTAGTAGCGCAGGCCTGACATGGATTGTATGGGCACCAATTATTGTTTATTGTCATAATGGAAACCAGGCATTGAAGCATTTCTAAGAATTGTATTCTAATAATTTGTTCTTACCTGTATGATAACAAATTTATTATTATCTTCTAAAGAATTTTTACAGACTGTACTTTCATATTCATTTATTTTACCGCTTGTATTATCAAATTTTGCCTTGCGATTTTTTAAAGCTTTGAAAATTCTACCTGCAAAGGGCACCAAATTTAGGACACATATTTAGATGGCTCATTCAGGAAGTTTCAATTAATTATGTTATGATAGAGTATTATGTTTACCTTTAGTGGATCTTCGTGTAGAAACCCTCTTAAAATCACTTCTTAACTTAAAAGTTTCGCAGTTTTCCAAAAGTGGGGTGTTAACATCATTGCTTGCATTGTTTTTTACTTTAATGAAAACTAACTCTCCGTTTTCGCCTACATCAGAATCCCATTCCGGAACCGAACTAAAACAAAACTGTAAGATAATAACATTGATTCACTAAGTAATAAAACAGGATTAAAAAACCCACCTTTCCGAATCTGAGTATTTAGAGTCGCCGGTAGAATCAGTCCAATCATTGTCGGAATCACAGGGAGATTCATAATGCACCTTATTTTTGAACTTATTCATATTACGGTCTTATTTATTAAATTACTATTTATATTACTGTAAAGATTCCTGTTTAGTTTATTAAGATAAAACGAAAACATAGAAAATAGAAACAAACATACAACTTTGTTTTCCTTTTTTTGACTTTTATATCTGACAGATAATACAGACTATATTAGTAATGTTGCTGCTTATAGCTTAAAGAAGTCCCAATATTTTAGCGTCTAGCATAAACTGGGCGTAATCGTTTGAAGCTTTAACTACTGATAGCATTACCTTACAGATTTAGTGCAAGCTTTAAAATTTTTTGCTTAGGAGGACCATAAAATGTGAGCTTTTGTGGAATCGTAACATACGACAGTATTTCAATAACTATCCTTCAAGTCAAAACTGCCACTTTTGATGACTTTTAGTAAAAGTCACTTTAACTTCACTACATTTATAATAGCAATGGTATAAAAATGATTAAAAATAAAACTGTAAATATCGCGTCTAAATGCCTTTTGTTGTTAAACAAAGGGCAAATGCAATAGGGTACTCATAAATACATATCTGCATAACAATTTTCTAGTTCAATAAACTTGACTCTGATCACAATGTTAAAAAGTTGATTAGAATAAACCATCAATTAAAAAAAGATGCCGGATCTAGTGTTCAACATGAAAAAATCCAGTATCTATAAAGATTTCTACCCAAAGTCTTCTTCCTTTCTTAGTTTTTTGTGTGACGAGGATGACACCTGTGAAGCGAAGACTGTGACAGACGATCTCAATAATAATGATTACTATGAGGATATCGACGTGAAATTTTATAAAGAAGGTAGTATTGTAACTGAACATCCACTGGAACCCTCGCACAAATCTTATCAGGTAATCTGTGCATAATACAGTACCCATTTTACCGCGACTAGCATGTGCTACAACCTCGCGCATGTGCGCGAGGTTGCTACGACGCCCCCTTTTTTAGAGGGAGAGTATAAACAGGGTTATCTGATACTGTTAGATTCGCAGACTTGTGGTCCAACCATGTCGTAGCCTAGACGATATTGCATAATTAAATAGCAATAATTAAACTCAACATATCTAAGATGAAACTAGTCTTCTTTAGTATTAAGATGCGAGATAGGATTTTTAACGGTCTTTTCCGTTTTGAATATGTAAAATCGAAACTCCCACATTCAAAAAACAAGGAGTGGTGAAGGAGGCTTTAAGAGCTACAAGACAACGACACAGTTGTTTACTTTATACTATATTATACTGTACTATTACATGAAGATACGAGGACGAGTAACTGCGGATGTTGATTGCTTTAAAAGCGATTCAAAGCGGTTTGCTTATTTAGTTTTTCAGGAACAATGCATTCTTTCTATGTACACTCTGGGTGGAGTGAGTTGACCCAATTCACTCCCATTTTTCTTTGCTAGAAAATGATATACACAGTTTACAATCTACCCACCATTTGATTTAAAATTTAACATTTTAGGGAAAATTATATGACTTGAAAGAGAGCACTAGAAAATTGTTATGCTTGTTAGATAAAATATTAATGTTCGAACCCCCGATCAATGAAGCACAAACAGTTAATGAACCATCGGAGAAGAAATCTAATCGTAAAAATCGACTTAAACCGATACAACCTCACGTAAGTATTAAAATAATTATAGATACGACAATTTACTTCAATTATTATACGACAAAGCATAATTTGTAGTAATAAGCAGCACTGCCGTACCCACAACCGTTGGATAATAGAGTTATGCAAAATGAAATTAATACTGATTCGTTACCTATAGACCATATGACTTTTTTACCCTAGGAAGGAGACTGTTCAATATACAATAGGCTAACAAGAAAATGTCAATGCCTGAACAGCGATATCTACAACGATTTTATATTACTATTCAATGAGAATGTGAAGCATATGACATGTAATGTTGGCGAGATCATAAAGAACATGCGCACTCTGAAGAAGTTCTTGTACATTGGGGATGAATATACGAAACGAGCGCTCATGTTTTTAAAAGATGTACGTATAAAAGAGATTTTTTACTATGTTATCTCTGGTTTTATAAAGGGGAATCCCAGGGAAAGGCAAAACGCGGGAAAATGTTACTATGTTGTAAACTTTCTTGGCAGGGTCTATCGAATAGTACGCTGCTAGAAAGAACCGATATTATACAAGGTTGTATTTTCACTGACATCTGCAATATATTCGAAGAGAATTCAATCATTACCACTTTAATTACTTGGCCATGTAAATATGCTAAATCTGGGGACCAAGAAACGATGGTAAGGTTAATGTAATCTCACTTTTCATAGTAATTAATACTGGTTTATATTTGGTTGATCATTTCAGATTTCTTTCATTGAATTAAAAATCTCGTGATTATCTAAGTTGCGGTGGCTTTTTTTGTTCATTTTTTTTTCTCGCAACAGATGATGACTGCTACATTGGTAAATAAAATATCAAGACCCGAGGAAGGAAAGCGCTATCTAAATTTAAACTCTAGAATAATATTCGATATCAAACAAGCGTTTAAGAAGTGCGGTAACCATTTGAAGACGGAAACTGTTGATATGCTGCATACCATCTTAGATCGCCTGGAACCACAATACACACAAAACATCAGCGTGTCATATTGCCGCAAGACCAATGACAAAGGTAATGAAAAGAAATTAAAAGAAAGATCACCTACTAAGATTACGTCACAACAAAACAGTAATAAAAATAATCTGTCGAAGAAATTCCATCCTACTTTAAAAATCGACCAAAAATTTTACCAGAGTATACGCCTTGATAAAACTAATATATGTGGAGTTTAATTATGTACGTAAAATTTCCAACAGTTAAAAGTTTATTTTGTTCGTTCGTCACAATATAATTGGCTCGTTTTGGTAACTGCCCGTAACAAAGTTACTCTCATTAGCGTTCAAATGACCTTATAATGACAATACAATCACTGAATCGTTTTCGGCTTTCTGCAGTTTTTTTTTGCATATTACTGCTTTTTGTTTTTCTTAGCTTCTACAACGGGCCTATTATATTGTGGCAATCAATGAAATCTATAAATATTTTTAATTTTGCAGGTGTAGTTATACAAACGCTTCTTAATTTGATAAAACATGGCTCTGAGATGCCGTTAAAGGAAGCACTATTAAATCTCGAGTTACTCAGCAATTGGTCAAAACAAGAGAATGGTAAAGAGGAATTAAAGTCGTATAGACCGGAATTGCTTCTGGTTTTAAAAACTATATTACGACTTTATGACCATAGTCAAATTAATATATTTGCTACGACAATTCTTAATAATGTCGTTTCTAAAAGTATGATTAGGGGAAATAATTTTGGCGTTACTAACATAGTGGTTGTAACGAGCACTGGAACTGAGGTAAATGTTTTGACATATTTATGTATATTTATACTGATACTAGCTTTCGTCCGCGACTCCGTCTGCGTGGAATTAAAAAAAAACAAAAGTGAGTAATCTACGTTCTTCCATATTATCCTCTATATCTATACCAAATTTCATCGAAATCCATTCAGCCGTTTAGGATACAAACTCTAACAAACATCCATCTAAACTTTCGCATTTACAATAATAGTAAGTATGATTATAAAGAGGAAAGATTTATATTTTTGTATGTATTGAAATAACTCAAAAACTACTGGGCCGATTTCAATAATTCTTTTTCCATTAGAAAGGTAATTTATCTGTGAGTAACGTACACTATATCTTATATACATAGTTTCACGGGGACGAGGTCGCGAGCAGTAGCTAGTTCCCTATAAACTGATAATTAAGAAACGCTAGGGTCACGTATACATAGTTAATAACAAATTAATATTTTTTAGCCTATTGAAATGAAAAATCAATTTGTCCAAATAAGTAAGAAAAAAATAAAAAAACAAAAATCGACTGTGCATCCAGGAAAACGATTGTTTATGTCCAAACAACGAGGTAGGCATTTTGTTATAAGCACCTGGTTCACATTATGCCAGTACAGTGGGACAGTTGCGGTGACCTGGCATGGAATTATTCTTACTGACACCAATTAGCCATTACATCCACATCACTACTGTCCCAATGTACTGGCATAATGTGAATCGGGTACTATCACTTATTAAATTGACACATAGAGGGCGCTGCATCGTACCGCGATGTTGTATTATTACACATGAATATTAAATGAACATTGATAAAAAAAATTCCAACTGCTTTAGCATCGCACATTTCCATCTGTGCGCTTCGACGTCGGGCGGCAGCACACGTGTGGCATCTCCCTAATATAGGTACTCATACTAACTTTTTAGTTTCAGACGTTGGATACTCTTCACAAATATTGGATACTTTGAAGAAAAAGTGTGAGAGTAAGGGGTAAAATGTTTTTAAATAATTTATTCACTCATATAAATAAACATGTTATTAAATTAAAACATTACCTTTTAGAAACTCGAAAACAAGTAATATATGTGCCAGTGGAATCAAAAACAAGTTTAACAAAGTGACATAAATTTTATTATCAAGTATCACATATTATTGAAATTTTCAATGCACTTACCAATAAAACTTGCCAAGCAAAAAATCCAATACTTTCATATTATTAGAAACCAAGTTTGCTTCAGCTTCATAATGTCTTAAAAATTATTTGTAAATAAATAAGCATTAAATTTTGTAAAACAATGTACTTAAATTCTGTACAAAAAATGTCATGTTAGTGAATAAAACTTAAGCAACATAAGATTTTACAAGACTGTTTTTCATTTAGCAATTGCCTGTTTGGTAAGAAAAGAAAACATTAAGTAACCATATATTCCGATAAAGTCCGATATCCATAAGAAAGCTTCATGTAAAACAATGTGTATAGAATAAAGGAATTTTAAATTTGATCAAACCATTATAAACCACAGTTTTTTAGTTTATTGATTGAATAGATGTACTACTATATAAAACTCTTTATATTAGTCTCACTCTACAGCCTCTTAGTACATGAAATAAAACATAAAAAGGAACATATTCTATCACATACAATATAATAGCCAAACGAAATTAAATAAATAATTTTAAGTAATAATTGTAACCGCACACGGAACAAAAAGGCGCGCGTCTACGTTCGAACTCTTTTGAGAATAATGCAGGGTGCACAATCTCAGTACATTTAACTTGGAAATCCGAAGATAAAATACTGCAATATAACGGAGCACCTTAAATCTATTTTGATAAT